ATGAAGATAAAATGCCAACACATCACACACACACACACACACACACACACATAACATGCTCACAATGGCCTTATGATCACATCTGCCTGCTATGGCAACTAGCCAATCCCTGCTCAAACACATTTTTGTTTGTCCAACACCAACCTCTGGTTTATACTGCAACTATGTTGAGCAGACCTTAGTTACAGTTTCTGAGGGTTACTGCATAATGTGGCTTGGCCAACAGTTTTGAATGACTTGGACAACAAACACACACACACTGCACACTTTCCTATTCTTATAAATGTTATATTTAGTGGATACATGTGTTTAAATCAATGTCTTCTAGCCTGGGCATTTGAGAGTCTTAATGAAGAAAATGTGTCTTTTGTCAGGAGTCAAACCTGTATCCCCCTTATATTGTATCATACTAAGCTTGTTAAGTACCTACAAACGGGTAATTATTTATTAAGCGTAACCTAATTTTAGCATAAGACCCAGGGTATGGGACATTCAATGAGGATCGAACTTTCCATTCGCTAATGAACATCAATATGAGAAAATAATACGTTGATTATCCAATTATCATACTCTAACAAGTGCCTTAGCATAACGAAGTTACCTCTCTTGAATCATGTAGTAAATTTTAGGAGTTACGTCCCTTGACCGTTGAAATTATTACTCTTGGATCACTCCGAGAAAAATACCTCCCATTTAATTTCCATGGAAACTGCATCAATTGTGAGGAGCACTGGAATAGAACCAATTTTAATTAATTAATTTTTTTTTTCTTCAAACATTGCTGGAGAAAATGCAGAGCCAATGAACATTTCATGGGTTGACAGCTTTGCAAGGCTGTCTGGAACATGGCCTGTCACAGACGTTGCTGTCACTCCCTCTGTTTTAATCTGTGTAAATATTTTTTTTTTTTTTTTTTTTTTTTTTGCAATGGAGGAATTCGTTGTTACACTTCTGCTTTGTATGCAATTTAATGTCAGCTGCCATTTTAACCAAACTAGCATCTGCAACAAGGTAAAAATCATGGATTTTGGGTGGGGAGTTATTTGTAATTTGGAAAAGTTGACCAGTAAAATTAATCCACACAAAATGCCTTCTTATATATATATATATATATATGACAGAGATATCAGTTTTTCTCAACTTTTCTTTTACTCCAGTGTGCAATTGTAGAATAATTAACAAACGCTAGTGCAGTTTAATTGAAGCCATGTGCTTGGTATTCTAGCTTTTTTAAAAATAAAGATTTTTAGAATATAAAAATAATTGATTGATTACTCTTCTGATAAGTTGGGGCACACATGCCTACCTTTTAATGCACATTAGTGCACCCGAGCATACTGCTTGAGAAATGCTGATAGAGATGTTTGGGTTGGGTTTATCTATGTGTAGTCTATTATCCCTATATTTGTTGTTATCAAAAAGTTTTGGTTATTGTGCCCTCTGACCTTCATTTGGTTGAAACATTGTGATAACAACAACAAAGATTGGGACAATAGTCCACATGTGAATAATATAAAGTTTTCTGTATTAATGTTTTTATAGAATTAGTTTTGGGCTGGGATTTTAGATTCCTCTTACTCTCTTTGATTCTTTTATAGGTAGGCAGTTCACACCTTCAAAGAGATTTGATTTAGGATGGGGGTGTAAATTTTAAAAATTACCCCCATCTCCTGAAATGTCACAAAAGCAACTTACAATCTGGAGTGGAGGGGAAAGATTAAATTTCTCAAAATTACATTGAGTACAACATGAATCTCAAATATCTGAACCATGATCCTGAAAATTACCCCACCCCACTTCACTACAAAAAACCTGAAAGTGACAATCTGGGGAAAATTTAACATGTAGTGCAAAAGTAACTTTCTATGTATATTATATGAAAAGGACTGATTTATCTGTGCTTCACACACTGTATGGATGTATTGTGCATCAGTGACTTACATGCGCTTGTGCTGTTGTACACAAGTACACACATATATATACACACATATATATATATATATATATATATATATATATATATATATATATATATATATATATATATATATATATATATATACACACACCACAGCTGTTTGAGGTTTCCTATAGCCACACTGAACTTAAATAAAGTCAATTCAGGTTTCCTATGGTAAAAATTTTCTTTTCCAAGTGGAAATCATCACAAAAATGGCAAAAGTCATTTTGTCACAGCTTATTTTCTCTCAAAAAATAGATTTTCATACTTTTATAGGGGTAAAATATTAAAAAATGACTGTTTTATCATCACCTAAACAAATCTCAAAGAAACTTTTGATCTGAACCCCATGAAACTAGGTATTTTCTGAAAGCAAAGGATATATTCTTTCATTTAAAAGTAAAATTAGCTGGTGTAAATGACTCAAAATTTTTTTCAGTGGGTAAAATGTGAAAAAATAATGAAAATTTTGCATTTTTTTTCTTGTTCTAAATAAATATTTCCCCCATTAAAGGGAAATTAACAATTTTTTTTTTTTTTTTTTTTTTGAAAATCAGAAAGCCTAAATCATAATCAAACTATTTCAGGCATAAAATTGAGAGTTTTGAAGGAAATCAATATTCCTAGGGGTTCAAAATGCAACAAAATTCATTGTTAATTTTCAATTATATGACTGCCAAGGGTTAAAAAAAAATTGACACCCGGCCACGGAAATCTTTAGTAAAAGGCTAAATTATATCTGCAATTCCTAACCACCAGAAACCAAAAGTTTTTTTTTTTCCAAAAATAGCGATAAGGAAAATTAAACCTAATTGACTTTGACGTCTAGGTCAAAGGTCAGCCAGCCATCCAGCAATAAACGGCAAACCTTAGAACAAGTTCTAAGAAAACCCACCACTCCCAGATAAAAGCAAAGATTGAAAAAATAAAGGGTTCACCATTACTAGGGCTTGATGAGTTTTGTTTTGTTTTTAACACCCCGTGACCCGGGTGATGACAACAACACTTAGCAGACGACATTGTTTTTTTTTTTTTCGCCGCATATCTTTCGTATTTCCCGTCGCCTGTCCATTTAGCCGTTCCTTTTATTCAATGATGTTCATGCCAAATGAAAGAGAAAGGAATGAATTTTGAATGATGTTATTTTGAAGTGAAAATAAATATTTTTTCATTAAAAAAAAAAAGAGGATTTTTCTCAGAAAATTGGGCATAATTTCTTAATGCTAACTGCCGAGTGACATTTTCCACATCCAAATCGAAGATTAATTACCAGTGAATAATTCCATGTGCAAACAATAGCCGTCTGGATCCTTTTAAGTCGCCCTAAAAGGTCCAGAAGTTTACTAATTGATCGAAAACCTGTTGCGCATAATTGTATTTTTCACGGTCAGTTTCCATTATTTCATCTTGATATTATCATTTTCGGACCGCCAAGTCATCAAAGATTCAGGAAAACAGTTTGACATAGGTTTTCTTTAAGAACTTGACATTCTATGAGGTGTTTAATATGTTACTGACGAATGAGATTTTTTTGCCGAATATTTTGTTTACGCGCCATGTTGGATTTTCCTATATGACAAAAACAAGGGTTTTAAACAGCCGTGACACGTGCACACACACTTTGATGTGGAATAATACATTCTCTTTCCACTCAGTCTGGACAACTCCTACCTTGGACTCAGTAATGAAATTATTAAAGTGACTACGAAAAAAAAAAACATTTTTTTTAAACTCTAAAAAATTAGGTAATTATAAGATTTGATTAAATTTCTTAAAAGTTATTTAGTAATAAAAATGATTACTTTTAAACCTTTTTTTAAAAAATTTTCTATTATTTTCGGTCTCTTATTGAATTAAAGTATATACATGTGTACATGCATACAATTTGAATGCGGTGGAAATGTATCTCAGTATATCCCATTTTGTTTGGCAACAACCCCTGAGTAACAGGAAAAACATATGCTTTCTCTTTGAAGTTATTTTTATGATTTGCTCTGTATTTAAACTGAATATATTTTCTAATAAATGTCGTATTTCTCTAGGCGGTGTTCTGTGACTGTTTGTAATACAGACAATCAACAATTAATTTCTGGCTATTTGCAATTGTCTGTATATTGAACTGACTCTTCTGCTTGTAAGTGAATGGTGGGTCTTGAGGTTGTGTTTTTTTTTATTTTTTTTTTATTAAACATTTCAACCCAAGTGAGTTGATACAAGGAGTTACTGAGAGTGGAATGATCTGAGAAAAAGCATTAAGGAGAGAGGGTAATGTGATGACTATCATTGCATTTAAATTTTTGAACAAAGTTGATTGAAAAGCATGGAAGCCAGAAGTGAGTTACAATATGTGAAAAGTGAAAGAGAAGAAACTGCTAACTGCTTAGGGTTACCTCTACCAATTTAATTTGTAAAATGATGAGACCTAACTGCCAATCTAGTATGGTGCTTAAATTTGTAAAGTTGAGGTATCAAAGAGAAAAGCTCAGCAGAAGAGTTAGCATGTAAATATTTATAGAAGAGGCACGGAAGCTACGTTATGGCAGTGCGGAAAGTAACTGAAGCTGAGATGTCAGGGACAGCAATATTTGTTGCATGGACGAATTGAAAGGGGTGGCAATTTCCTCATTGTGCAAGCAACATCAGGTGGCTTTTTCAAAATAAAACTGAATAAATTTTTTTTTTAATTTTTTCTTTCTTATTTTATTCATTATAATTAATATCTGTGACAGAAGAAATAGATTGTTGTAAACTAGGGAAGGTTACTGAATAGAATAATCACATGAAGGTTGGTAATGAATGATAATACTTAGTACAAGAACAACACAGATTCGCCAGCGGTGCGTAGAAGAAATAGTTGACTGCTAGAAGTGAGTCAAGTGAATTGCACAAGTGTCTTTTGCACCTCCATACATGTGTTTTGCAATGCATATAAAAAATGTGGAAAAAAAAACTTAAATGTTTCTTTATTCGAGTCTCTCTGCCAATAACATGGAATAAACACCATAGACACTTGATACGTATTTTTGGTTTTTGCTTTCAGATGGATACTTCTGTATCTGGCAAAGATGCAGACACGGTGGTGCGTGATCGATCGACTGGACGGCGCAGAGACCTGAAGCAAGAGCAGATGCGGAAGAATGAAGAGCAGAAGAAAAAGGAATTAAAAGACCAAAAATATGCTGAGTGGGGAAAAGGGTAAGTGCCGAGTGTTTCTTTGAAGTTAATCTTAGATATGAAAGCTTAAACTGTCTGATTTAGTCATGAATGACAAATGCATATTAATTTGTAATATCACCTGAGTATTAGACTCAACATAAATTGACTGTCCTGCTCCTAATAAATAGGGATCACCCCTTTTTTTTTTTTTTTTTTTTTTTTTTTTGGCGGTGCTTGGTGGGGGGGGGTTTAGCACTCATTAGACTTTCCTCCATTTATAGAACTTGTCAGAATCAAAAAGTATAAACTTTATATAGAAGCACGGGGTCTTATTCATTATATGAATACAGCATGAAATCGATCTCTGATTTCTTAGATGCACTTTAATTTTATTTATAAATGTCAAGTTTAAAACTATATTTATGCTATTTTTATTTTTTCTTTAAGCCACAGTAAATATTAGGGTGCATATTGTCAGGCTTAGGCCTTACTACTGGTAACTTCTAACACAGTATAATCTGCTAAAAGGGGATTTTTTAACTTTAAAGTTGCTCATAAATAGTCAACAGGTTAACTGAAATGTGTAGGCATTTAGACCTTAGAATACGTCTTTTAGTATACTCAAAAAAGAAAAGTTTTTTTTTTTTTTTGTTTACTGAAATATGAAATGAATGTTTTTATTAAACATCTCTAAAAATTGGAATTATGGATTCAGCCATTTTCCTTTTTAACACATTTGTTGTCTTTTGGCTTAGGAAGGTAGCAAATCCTTTAGGAAATGCGAGATAGGGGGGGAAAAAACCAGATTGATATTTTGATAATATTCAATGGCGGCACTCTCTAGGATTTTCCTTCTGAGTAAATTACTTTCTCTTTTGATTAATATTGTAAAATATGAAATTGTCTTGTTTTTTGACTCATTTGTGGATTGTGTTATTTAAAAAAATTTTCTCTTTTTTACAGCTTGAAGCAGAAGGCTCAGCAGGAGCAGGCTATCCAGGATAGTTTGCATGAATTGTCCAAGCCTTTGGCTAGGTACAAAGATGACAAGGATCTGGATCAGATGATGCGGGAACAAGACCGGGCAGGAGACCCAATGCTGGCCTTCATCAAGAAGAAGAAAAAACCTGAAAAAGAAGGCAAAGGTAAAACATCATCTGTTCCCTTCCCTACCAAATTTGGCATATTATATTGAAAAAAGAAACTCCTAATTATTTTCAATGCTAATTTAAAAAATGATATATATGGTTTACATCGATTAAATAGCTAATAATTCATTATCGTTCATATAATTATTTCCTGAGTTGTCATTGGCTTGTTCTTTACTCTGATTAATTGGCTTGCATATACAGCCTTGTTTATTACCACACACAAATTTCAGCTTAAGAATCATCAATTTTCTTAGATATTGAATAAATTGAAATAATATTCTTCTAATTCTTTTGGCCAATTTATATTGAGTAATTGAATTACCAATTACCAGTTGATTAATTGCATCCTGGCCATTTCCACAGGATCAAAATGTGGTATCTCTTCTCTTCAGTTTACATTGAAGAAAGATCCTGCTCTGGTTCTGGGGTAAGACTATAAACTGTATCCAACAGCAGGTCCTCTGATTGGGAGGTTTTGAGGAGTGTGGAACAACCTCTTGATGGCTGGTATTCCCAGGTCCACCCCGACCCAGGGTGGTGGCACTTGTTAGGGTCCTAGCTGTGGTCAAGTAGTTAACCCCCAAACTGGGGTCAAAGCACCGTGAAAGTGCAAGAATGGGTTTTGGTTTCATCAATAAGTTTTTTTGAGGAAAAATTATTGCTAGCAATTACATTTTTGAAGAAAAGATATTGCTAGCAATTACATTTTTGAAGAAAAGATATTGCTAGCAATAAAAGTCTTGTTGGCATTAAATAACCCATTGAGGTTGATATACTGTTAAAAAAAAAAAAACAAAAAAAACAAACCAAACCTAGTTCCTGGGTTTTCAACCCTATGGCAGCAGCTTCCTCATTTTATTAAGAGAAGTGGGCCAGTGTAATATTGGCACCAATGTGACAGTGGTTGCTGGGCCTAGGCAATTTTTGTCCTTGGCCCATATGAATTGGCAACTTGTTGTTTTAGTGTTGAACTAGCTTGTGCATCTAGCTAGTTCAATACTAAAATGACTGTCACTTCTATTCTAATAGTTTCTTTTCTCGCACTTTTTGTCTGTGGAACTCTCTTCTGGTCTCTTGCTTCCCTGTCACCTACAATCTTCAAAACTTTAAATGTATTGTCAATCTGTATCTTCCTGAATCCTGCTCCTTCAGTGTCCTTTTACTTGCTCACTAATGTGTTCTCATTCTCTTTGACTCCCAGTAACCCCATGTGCCTTAGTGACATTATAGCCTTACTGGGGGTGAAATGATTGAAAAAAAAATCTTTTACAATGTTCTTCATTAATAAAATCATTTGCACTTAAACTATTATTCTGTCAGTATTGTTTGCTTGGGATGAAAAGATAAAATAAAAAAACACCGGTAAAAATCTAAATCGGATTTCAAAGGACTCATCTGATGACATCTGGATAACTTGTTATAGTTTGAAAAGAAATGCGTTTCTTAATTTTATTGATCAATGAATGTCTGATTTGAACTCCTAAAACCTCAGTTTATCTAATCTTACTCTTATATCAGGAATGATGTCCACTTAGTTTTATTAGAGTTGT